AAAGAACTTGTCAAGTGCGCGAGCAGACAAAATTGACCTGAAGAGCTGGACGGCACAGATGTAAGAAAGTAGAATTTTGTCTCTGTCCTATTTGCAAAGTGATGGGTTTGCAGGAGTCCTCTTGGGATGGGGAACTAACTAGAGTTGCATACTGTCTATCTTTCAAGTGATATTAGAAAAAAAGTTGGGCACTACCAGAGAAAAACGGAAAGTGTGAGTAAACGTAGGTTATGAGGTAATTTAGGGTTGTCTCTCCTGTACAAACACACGTGCATTTGTATGTTTCTGTAACAATCTTGGACAAAACAGTGTTCCTTGTGTCTATTTCTGAGAACAGTGAGATTTGATGAATTGCTTGTGTGAAGACCCCCCTTCCTTAAAAAAAGACTTGAAAGTTACTCATACAGTGGACTGGTGTTGCTCTTGCCTTGGACACATGTTCCATCAGATGGTACGGGAGGTTATCAGAGATTTAAAAAGTGGAAATTTTGTCCTCAAAATAGTCAATTGGGAATGTTACTCCCCACACCAACAACACCGATGGAATTGGACTCCACATCATTTGGGATCCAACTTTGGAGTAAAATTTGAAGCTGTTTTTTTTATGGAGCCGTGTTTTTGTGTGTAATGGTAGGTGTGTGGATGATGACAGATGTATCATTGATTATAGATCCATACTCAGTGATAGATCTGTGCTTGATAATAGATCTGTGTTTGATGTTGTATGTATGCCAATGGTAGTTGAATTCTTGATGGTAGATCTATGTTTGATGGTAGATTTTAACAGAATTCCCGGCAGCAACTACCAGCATTGTACAACATGGTGAAAAAGTGATGCCCTTAATAAGATACTGTCCCCTTATCACCCGCCCGAGATGCTTGCCATCAGGACTGAAGTGATGAATTTCAGCTCGTTCGTTATTTATAAAGGCCGCTACAAATATGTATCCTTGGTCATCACAGCACACATCTGATAGTTCACATTGCTGAGAGGCCTGGCTCGGTATCTCTGCCGAGAACACCACACTGCCCTTGTAGTCAACCGACACAACCTGTTTCTGTTTTCTGTTGGTGTAGATGAGATGCTGATTAGAGAGTGTCATGTTATCGCTAATGCCTGGAGCTGGTAGGGTCTTTATGAGGGTTCCATACGGATTGTGCAAGGAAATCTCTCCCTTTCTCTCATAACCCAGTGCTATCACGTTGTCATCCACTGCGAGGCACGATGGTGGGCGAGACAAATCATCAGTAGCTTCGAAAAAACGGAGGAGCTGATAATCCCGGTTGAAGGTCTTGACTACTTTACGGTCTAGAATAGTGATTTGATCATTTTTGTCTACTTTGACTTGGCTTGGGTTTTTTAAACCTTTGATTTGAAGTATCGTTGCTTTAGATGGGACAGTGCCTTGCAATTTGGCTTCGCTTTTGCTAACAGGAACGAAAGTTTTCAGATGGTGTTGTGTGGCTTTTGCCTCCACCACAATGATATCATTGTTGGAGCACACTGCAACATCTCTAGCAGAGTCAAAATTCTTTCTCTCTGTCTTTAAGTCCCACGTTTTGGAAAGATAAGGCTGCTCTGGTCCCTGCAGTGGATTCTCCTCATCTTGGGCTTGTAATTTTGGTTTGGATTTGGCATCTAGCACCAGTTTGCCAAGGCTGACCTCTTCACCCTCTTCAAAATGAAAGGCAGCTTGTTTTGTGACAGCTGGTGGTTTTTTACTTGAAAGTTCTTGGAGGTTTTGAAAGAGTTTCTCCTTGAGGTTAAGAATCTCACAGGAGCTTGCTCGTGCCACAAGTCTGTTCACATCATCCAGCTTCTGTGCTGTTTGGCTCCTCTCCTTGCTGCATGTAGCTTCAGCAGTTGTCAGCTTCTGAAGTTTCTCTTTGTAAACCTTCTCTACCTCTTCCTTCAGCTTTCTCTCCTCCTGTCTTATCCTTGCAACCTCCTTGTCAGCCTTCTCGGAGATTTTTGCTGTGGCATCGAAATACATGTTGCCAAGTTTTTCCCTTGTCCCTGCCACTTTCTTTTCAGCTGTGCGCCAGGTTTTCTGGATCTTTTCGGCTTTTGCCATCATCTCTGCAATGTCCTGCTTGCATTTGCCAGATGCTTCCGACAAGTCAGTAAGGGAGTGCTTTGCATGATGGAGGGCGTAGCATGTGGTGCACACTACTGTCTCACATGTGTTGCAGTACATGCTGACAATTTGATCTGGATGTCTCGCACATTTTGGAGTTTCTCGTAATTTGCTCTTGTAGACATTTTTGCCTGAGCTAAGCTCATCCAGTGTACGGATTGAATGAGATTTCAACATGGCCAGACGTCCATGTAACGTTTTGCATTCTTGACATAGGAAACTGTCACAGTCCATACATCTTGAGATAGCTGGATTCTCTTCCTCACAGGCTTGACATTTGATCTCTGAACCCAACTGAACCCCAGACAGTTGTTCCTGTATTGTGAATTCTTCAACCAGGGCTCCCAGTGCAAAGTTATTAGGCAAAGCAGCAACATCATTTCCTTTCAGCTTGGTGTCATGTCTGCAGAGAGGACACGTTAGCTTGGTAGAACCTGATCCTTGACCTTGGCTGAGCTGCTGGAGGCATTTCAGGCAGAAACTATGTAAGCAGTCCAGCACTTTAGGCTCCTTGAAACGACAGGAGCAGATGGAACATTCTAGATGATCCTGGCTGATCTTGCTCAGGACGGATTGGACTGTGACATTGGATGCCATATCTGTGGAGGTTCAAACATTAAAATGGCAGTTAGTCTTCTAAAAATGTTTTTGTAGGAATTTAACCCTGTTAATCTCACCTAAACACAGACAGATCAAAAATAAACATTATGGAGCAATTGCTTGGTACAACTTAAATGCACATATATTTCCACAACTGCACACATGTTTGTGTGACATTATGGAATAACGTCAAATGTACATGTATACTTACAACAGCATTGAGATCAAATTTCAAGAACTCCTACCTGCGTTTAGCAATAGAGCACAAACACGTTGGAGCTCAAAGATCAAAATTCTTCAAATGACTTCTTTCTCATTGCAGTATTTGTTGTGTTTTTTCTTAAAAGTCAAAATTACTAGGATTTTGGATCAAAACATTTAATCGGTAGCTAGCTGTAAAGCACATGATGGAAGTATATGTAAGTGCAGTGAATAGTGCAGTGAAGATTCGGAATGGTCTGAATGTTCCATTGGGCACACCAGCCATTCTGCTGGGAGTTAGTACTCCCAGCAGAATGCTTGGAAGCAGCTGTCGTTCTGTGGGAATGTTTCATTGCACCGTTTCCCTCCATGTTGAGCATGTCTGTCCAGCGAAAGAGTGTGTTGGAATAGTCCGTTGGAACAGTTTGCTGGAGGAAGCTGATATTCCCAAGTGCAAATCATGACAACCGCAAGTAGTGCCGTGAACAGTAAATAAAAGTTGAAAGTTTTGAGATGCCCTGCTCATATTGTCAGTGTCCTCTGTGGTAATTGTGCTTCCAATTTATGCAGATGATTGGTAGAACAGTTGCTTATCCCTCTGCTTGTAGTTATCATTGGGTTGCATCGGTCCATGGCCGTGTTCTCACTTAATTACAATTCGGGTCCATTTCTGGTGACCGTTACATCCAAGGTAATCAGAATCATTGCATGGGGGATCATAAATGAAAATTGGAATAGTGAGTCTCACTGCATGTGCAAACTTCCCTCCGAAGAGTTTCAAGAGAGGAAGAAGAAATCCCCCTAGACATGATGTGTGCTTTCTTTGTGGTATTCTAAAAAGAGGGTTCCCCTGCCTTTTCGATTATGAGGCTGCCCCGTCATTTTGGCCCCTCACATTAACAGAGACAGAGGGAAGAAAAAAATCTGAGAGAAAAACAACCTAAGTCCAACAATATTTTGGAACTGGCCTCACTGAGATTGTTCTGTCAGACAAAAGGTCATAGAATACATAACTGACTTATCAAGAAAACATATGGATGACAGTACATGTACATGTAAGTATACCATGATAATAATTGAGAACTACTTTTTAGGCCCTGTCGACAACAGCAATGTGCTTGTTTGCTGTTGGCAGTTGATTTTTTTTTTCAATTTTCAGGGGGCCAACTCATGCTCTAAGAGAAACTCTTTTCTCAAGGAAAACTTACTTTTGAGGTCCTGTTTGTGCTGCTGGATGATTAAAACCTCAGTAAATTCTGTAGCAAATGGCACAACACAGTACAGACGCCGGCAAGTTTAAAAGTGCATGCACATGAATTCATGAGCGTGTATATCCATGCGCCATGCCAAGAATGTTGCAGTCTGGTGTGCAGTGTTTGCACTACCAGCCAAGTTTCTATTTTTAGATTCCCTTAAGCTTCTCAGGCAGTAAAGCCAGACAGGTCAGTGCATGTTCACTGTGAGTTGTGCCTATTGCATTTGGGATATCTTGCTTGGTTTCACGTGATTGGGTATAAAGGTCATGTAGCATGTTTAGAATATGAGCTGGATCGTACATGTCCATGTGCATAATGAACTTAAAGGGGAAGTTGGTGCCCATTATGAAACATTGGCTCAAGTGGAATCCAGCTTCTTCCCATTAAAATCTAAAATGTTAGCGAGTCTGGCATTTGGATCCCAGCAGAATCTGAAGAAAGACTCTGCTAGGATTGAAATGCCAGACTTTTAAACATTTGAAAGACCTAATTTTGTTTCATTTCAGGGCACTGCAGTCAGGGAGCAGCTTGAAGCAGCAGTTTCACATGTCTGATGTCTGATGTCTGATGTCCTTTTACTTTTATTCAGACTTCAAGTCTGATAAGTACATGGTTGTTGCTAGTTTGTTCTGTCCACTAGGTTATGTGCCGGGGTGGAGGGAAGGGGTTTGCACATGATTTGATGTGGGTACAACAGCCTGTGTGCCTATTCCATTCATTAAAAGGGGTGTCATAAGGAACTGTTTCATTTTAAAGGTACAATTTGAAGCGCTTGTTCTGTTTTTAATATGTGTACACCAGCCCTTTGCTTCATGGAGATTCTTGAAATGAATTGAATTTGGTACGTGATAGTCAAAAATTCTTCACATTCCATAAAAACTTACAGTGCATGGAGATGCAGCACGCACAACCAACCGTCACCACAGAAACGCAGGTAACAATGTTGGCATGGCATGGTAAAAAAGGAATCAAAGGGAAACAAAATGATACAAAATATCTATCTTGAAGACAATTTTCATTTCAAAACTGACCTTCTCTGATTCAGTCCCATATAAGAAACGCATTATAATATGGGTTCAGAATCACAGTTAAAATTATCAATAAACATATTGAATGCATCCTAAACCTGATGCAAAAGAAATAAACCATAAGCTGTCTTCTTCTAGAATAAATCTGGAACCTTAAACCTGCATCAAGTCAAGTTTAAAGTTGCTAAGCGCTGAAAATACCAGTGTTGATGTGAACAGTTCTGAGAAAGGCAGAAAGTAGTGCCCAGTCAACTAATTACATGGTTAAAATGGCAAAGTTGAAATCCGTTTTTCACAGTAATGGTCAGCTATAACCGGAGGAAGAGAAACTTCCTGAATATCAGCAAATTCTAATTGACAGAAAACTTCTTGTCCCTTGAGAGGACACCTTAGAAACATGTCAAGTTCAACGACTTCTTGAGGGAAATCACTTTTTTGTTGAGAAGACGAAATATACGAAATAAAACAATTACAATAGATGTGTCAAAATGGTAAAGTGTCTTTGTCAATGTTGCCACTGTCACGGACAGCCCATGTCGCTACAGTCACTGACATTGGCAACATTGGATGAGAAATATTTGAGCTTATTTAAACGAAAATCTTACTATTAAAAATTCAATAGGTTCATTTTCTAAGAATCGGGAGTGTAATAATGAAACTGAAATAATGAAATTTCATACTCCTCTCGGCCAGAATCCATCTGCAAATTGCATGCTTTCAAAGTAGGTTCTATATTCAATCAATCAATCAATCAATCAATCAATCAATCAATCAATCAATCAATCAATCAATCAATCAATCAATCAATCAATCAATCAATCAATCAATCAATCAATCAATCAAATCCCCAATGATTTCAATATTCATGGAAAATAAGGAAAGATCCAAAAAGCTGCACGTATCCCCATTAAATATATAGTGGAAACTCCACTTGTGTGCCATTTGAAGAGCTGACACCATCTTGGGTCTACTGTCAGAGAGGGCTGTCCTGATTTCCACGCACTTAGTGATTCGGGAAGGCACTGCTTTAAAAAAGGTGTAACTAAACAAATTATGGTAGAGGGTTTGCGGATACACCATGTGGAAAATATCTCTTTGAGTATGTGTGGTTCTGAAAAGAACCAGTTACTCCACATTTCGGACAGTGAGTGCTCTGTCCGTCTTCAGGACGGTCCTGAAGACCTGAAGTCCTGAAGACGGACAAAGCACTCACTGTCCGAAACGTCAAGTAACCGGTTCTGTCCGTCTTCAGGATGGTCCTGAAGACCTGAAGTCCTGAAGACG